TCATCTAAGCCAAGTTTTTCAACCTTACTTCATAACTATCTCAGAGGAGGAAGAAGAATTCATTCACAAGAACTTAGATACACTCTACCAGATATCACCTCCTATAAAAAATATCAAAATTAACAAAATAAAAGAGTTAGTTAAACATCTCAATACTAAAAAAGCTCCAAGGTATAATTTAATATCGGAAAAAATCTGCAAAAATTTACAGGAAGAAGGATTTCGGTTGGTTATGTACATATTTACCGCTATGCTAAAATTATTCTATTTTCCGGTTAAATGGAAAATGGTACAAATTATTCTGATACCGAAACCAAATAAATATCCATACGAACCATCATCCTATCGTCCAATCAGTTTGCTTTACATTATCTCTAAGATATTTGAGATAATACTCCTTCAAAGAATGAATTCTATAATCGACAGACAAAAGTTAATACCTTATTATCAGTTTGGATTCAGGCAACAACATGGAATAATTGAGCAGGTACATAGAGTTGCCAAAGTAGCAAGAGATGCGATTAAAAAGAAAGAATACTGCACGGCAGCCTTTTTGGATGTCTCATAAGCATTTGATAAAGTATGGCATGAGGGGCTGCTATCTAAAATAAAAACTCACTTTCCTCATACTCTATATGTACTTCTGAGTTCCTATCTTACCAATCGATATTTCCAGGTCAGATTCAATGAAGGAGTATCAAACATATCTCAGGATCTATCGGGAGTACCTCAGGGTAGTATATTGGAACAAACTTTATACTTACGGCAGATATTCCTACAATAGTACACAGCACAATTGCTACATGCAGATGATATTTTGATAATGGTTTCTAGCTTTGTTCTTGTTACAGCCTGTCAAAATTTACAAATTCACTTAAATGAACTAGAGAAATGGTTAAAACTGTGGCGAGTTAAAGAAAATGGCAGCAAATCAGCACATATAACATTTACTTTACGCAAAGAGAGTGTACCATCTGTGCGCATAAACAATACCATAATACCCAAAAAAGTGATGTTAAATACTTGGGAATACATTTTGACAGCCGACTAAATTGGGAAAAGCACATCTGGACAAAGCGACTGCAACTAGGATTAATATACAGAAAAATGTATTGGTTCATGAACCAAAAATCCTAATTAAGTCTCCAAAATAAATTATTACTGTATAAATGTGTTCTAAAGCCAGTTTGGACCTACGGTATACAGATATGGAGTACAGCATCTAATTCTCACTTACTGAAACTTCAGCGTTTCCAATCTAAAGTTTTAGACACTATCAATGAGCCGTGGCATGTGCCCAATTATGTTATACGTCGAGACCTTCAGATCCAAAATATTAAAGACACCGTTGTCTCATTCAGTATCACTTACAAAAATAGACTACTGAACCATCTAAATACGCTTGCCCAAGACCTACTTAAGCGACCGAGGAGAGGAAGACTAAAACGCCGTGATCCCTAGACCTTTCTATACCTTTACATGCATAAACGTATACTCTATTTTATAGCTACAGCTTATACTATATATACCTATAACATAATTGTGTGTGTATTTTAACTATTGCTATTTTTTAATTAGTAAATGTCTTTGCAAAGTGTTATTTTATATTTCAAATATTTTATATATGGGTATTAGAAATTGATCTTAAAGGATTTTTGTTCCTGGACGGATCTCCTTTATGGTAATTACGTGATAAACTTATTGATTATTGTTTTTTTTTATTTGTAGAAACAGATTACATATAAATAAAGGATGTAAAAAAATTGTGAATGATTATAGTTTTTATTGGTATAAACTTGTATTTAAAATTTAAAAGTATTCGTTAATTTTACTTATTTTTATGGCAGAATGGAAAATAGTTAAACTTACCATTGATATATTATTTGTTGAGTTATTCCAAGCGTCTGTAGATAGTTTTTCTTCTATTCACTAAGAAATTTAGAGAAAACCAACGATACTTTAAAACACACGATATACTAACTACCTGTACCTGTTAAAGTTACAGTATCCGTTATTCATTGGAAAGTTTAATCTTATCTTTAGTATTTACTAAAAATAATTATAACTGCAAACAATGGATTTACGTTAGAGAAGGATCAAGAGTTAAGCATGCTTTATGATAGTATTGTACACCATTGCGATATTTTATAGGTAGATGTAAAATACTAGAATTTCAACACGCAACAAAAGTTATGTAAGATGAAGGTTAAATTTAATTCATTAGAAATAATCAAATTTTGAATACAATAATTGGTATAATCCAGTAAACACTATTAATATCAGCAACATATACCATATCCCTCTGTAATACCCTGCTATAATCCTGCTAAATTTGTTAGATATTCTGCCCATTAAAAGCAGAAAAATTTTATGTGGTGATTTTAATATTGACTACGCTGCTGTTTGTGCGACCCAACTGTCTTTGGTAACTATTTTTGAATCATATGGTCTCACAATGCACGTTAATTCTCCAACAAGAATCTCAAAAACATCATCCTCGACAATTGATTATGTGGTTTCCGATTTTCCACCCGCTGACGTCCATTCTACAGTTATTAGTGGGGGGCTTTCTGATCATGAAGCGGTATATACCAAGTTTAGCAGTTTACAAACACCTCACTCAAAAACCCGACGATTAGGTAGGATTTTTTCCACTCAAAACTAGTAAATTCTATAATTCATGCTTGACTTCTGACTGGAGTTTTTCTTCTGGGGACATTGACTGTAATGTTAGTGATTTTCTAAATAGACTTGTATCTATTTTTAATAAAGCATTTCCTCTATTAAACATCAGGCCAAAACATAACAAACCTTGGATTACCAAAGGCATTCGCATATCTGCGAAAAATATGCGTTCTCTACTATATATTAAAAAATTTAATGACAGTATCCCCATCTCTGATTATATCAATAAGTACAGAAAATGCTATATAAAACTACTCAAAGTAGCCAAAAAATCCTACTTTCATAATCGCTTAACAAGCTAAAAAAAATTCAAAAGAAACTTGGTCAATAATAAACGATTTTCGAAATAAAACCAGTACAGCGAATCAAACCTTTTTTTTTCCTAACCCCGAAAATCTAAATGATTACTTTGTTAATGTGAGTAAAAATATAACCTCAACTATTTCGACACAACAAGATCCAGTTTCCTATCTCTCTAATTGAAAAACATTGCTGATACCTTCTTTTTAAGACCAGTTGATAAGACGGAACTCATTTCAACAATTCGTAGTATAAAAAGGACATCGTCCTATAGTACAGATGGATTATCTATTAAAATTTTCTCAAATCTAGCGCATAATGTTTTGGAGGTCATGGTCTCGCTAGTAAATGATTCCCTTGAAAAAGGTACATTCCCTAACTGCCTAAAGACTGCCATCGTCATTCCTCTTCATAAAGGTGGAGAAAAATCTGATGCCTGCAACTATAGACCTATTGCCTTGTTACCAGCACTATCAAAAATTATTGAAAGACTTATAAAAGTTCGACTTATGCCCTTTCTCCTTAAATATAATATTTTATCGCAAAATTAGTTCGGCTTTTTGTCTAATAAATGCACTAGTGATGCCATATTTTCTGTGTTACATGATGTATATCTATCACTAAACAGTAACCTCTCCTCCGCCACCGTTTTCTGCGACTATTCCAAAGCCTTTGACTGCGTAAATCACGACATTCTATTAAAAAAGTAAACTTTCTATGGAATTCGGGGTGTGTCTTTGAACTGGTTCAAAACTTACTTGGTAGGTAGGAAACAATTAGTTAGAATAAATGACACCGACTCTAGTTGTAAAGATATTGAGTGTGGAGTACCGCAAGGTTCAGTATTAGGTCCCATTCTTTTTTTACTTTTCATTAATGACATCACTTACTTGAAAATTAAAGAGAAAATTTTTCTATTTGCTGATGATACCAGTATTACTTGGAGCAGCTCTGATATTTCAACGCTTCATTCAATTATAACCGCTGGTTTACTTATAATCAAGGCTTGGTCAGACTCCAACTTACTAAGCTTTAACGTGGATAAGACTGTAGCATTATCTTTTAAAGGAGTCATGCAACCCTTGCTTTTGAATGAGAGCCAAATCAATATAGTAAATTCCGTGAAATTTCTAGTATTCTCATTGACAGTGATCTCAAATGGTCCTTGCATACTGACTCCTTAAGGAAGAAACTAGCCTCAGCTTGCTTTTCAATAAGATCTGTTTAGAAGGAACCTAATTTATCTTCTGCCAAAATGGCATATTTCTCATTGTTCGAGTCCCATCTTCGATATGGGCTTCCATTTTGTAGTTCTAGTACAGCGGCCCAATTTGATACTATTTTTAAGTTGCAAAAAAGAGCAATCCGTTCTCTATTTGGTCTCAAACAAACAACTCATTGCAAGACCTACTTCAAAAATTACGGAATTTTGACGCTTCCCTCTTTATTTATTTTGGAAACGGTTTGTTTGATTCGAAAGCATCTAAACATTTTTCCCGATAGACCTGACCATGGCTACTCCATTAGAAATTCGGATTGTAACGTTTATTTGCCGATCCCGTCCACTCAGCTAGTAAAGAATTCTATTCTATATCGTGCAAAGAAACTTTATAATCACCTTCCAAGAGAAATTAAATCCGAAAACATCCTTCATTAAGTTTCGTAAGGTGACAAAAATCTATCTCTCAGAAAGACCATATTATTCAGTTGACGAGTTTCTTAATGTATAACAAAGAAACAAAATTAGTATTGTTTATAATTACATTTGGGTGTCTCAAGCAGTGGCTACAATTTGTCTCATTTGTTGTTGTCTGTACAAATTATGTAGGTTATACAATAATTTTACTAATTTAAAATTGTGTTATTCTGTTTTTTACTATATTTGTTTTTGTTTTATACTTTTTGTACTATTTGACTGATTTACTTTTTAGCTTTGTCCATAAAATTGTTCAATAATTTTCAGTGACAATAAAGCATATTTCTATTCTATTCTATTCTAATAATTGAAGAGCCGTATGTGGGGGGGGGGGGGGGAGGGAAGAGGTTGCAAAATTTTTCAGAAGAGCGAAGGCAGAAAAAGTAGTGGGCGGCCATAGCTTACCGGCAAGATACTGGCCTTATAAGCCAGAGCGCACGAGTCTGAAACTCGCTCACTCGCCACATCCACTATAGCACGTTATATTCTGTGATATTGCGCTTCCATTTCTCATTGTTGTACCCCAATCCTAAATAAATCGGCGTTAACATAATCCTTCCATTATTTTTTTGGGACGACCTACCGATCTTCTACCCTCTGGTCTGTCAAAACACAATATACATACAGAGTCACCAATTCAACATTGCGGCGCCTTCTCCACTATTCTGTTGATTCATCTCTTTAAGGTCCAAATATTATTCTGAGAACCTTCCTTTCAAATATTACCAGCTTATTTAATTTCCGCTGACGTAGAGTCCATGTTTTACTTTCATATTATAACAATTTGGCGAATAATTGACTTGTACACACTTAATTTAGATTTTATATTTAACAGCTTAGATTTTAATAGTGAGAATAAGTGAGTATAATGCTCTATTCCCTGTAGCTATCGTTGCTGAGACCTGTTTTTCTAATGTAATTACTATTTAAATGGAAATAAGCCACAATTAAAGGTTAAAGTACATTTATTGACGTTTCAATTTCCACTTCGGAAATTTTTCTATGTGGTTGTCATCCTTGATTACCGTCCCCAGATATTTAAACTCTTTTACTTAAAAAAATGTTTTTCTATGTTTAGAATATAGTTTTAAAAATAAGTTATACTTATAAAATTTAAATTATTATAATCTTGTTTATATACATAAAAAAGTATTTTGTGGATGGCAGCCTTTTTTGTCTATTTAATAATCATTTCGCAAAACATTGGCACCTTCCAGTTTACCAGAAACTACGTATTATTCTGTTATTTGTAGAAGAACTTTTAAATAATAATAACTTTCAGTTTTTATAATTTGTATTGTAAGTTTGTCCGTAACACTTAGAATAGAATAGAATTATGCTTTATTGTCACTGAAAATTATTGAACAATTTTATGGACAAAGCTAAAAAATAAATCAGTCAAATAGTACGAAAAGTATAAAACAAAAACAAATATAATAAAAAATAGAACAATACAACTTTAAATTAGTAAAATTATTGTATAACTTACATAATTTGTACAGACAACAACAAATGAAATAAATGGTAGCCACTGCTTGAGACACCTTCTGTTGTTATTGTTGTTAGTATTTTGAAAATAAATAAATCTTTAATTAGCCACTTTTCGAATTCAAAGTTATAATTATTGACACAGTCAGTAGGATATGTGTGGATCGAAAACAAAACATTTATACATCAAGTGATAGAACTATTTCAGCTTTTGGTGTTTAAACATAATAGTGCATATCCACACTGAAACTCTGCTCGAAAGTGATATCCAATGAGAAGACTGCTACCTTTTTGAGAAAAGCAAAAATTCGGAGAGAAGAACCAGGTGCTCCAGATAACTGTAAGTGTCTTTCCTTTTATTACATTTGTGAGGGACGATAAAATATTTTTGAATTTTGAATAAGGAAGATAAGATTAATTTTCATTTTATTTTAATGCATTTTTGATGTATTTTTATACATTTTTGATACATTTTTGATACATTTTTGATACACTTTTGGTACATTTTTGATACATTCTTGATACATTTTTGATACATTTTTGATACATTTTTGATACATTTTTAATACATTTATTAATATATTTTTGATACATTTTTAATACATTTTGATGTATTTTTGATGTATTTTTGATACATTTTTGATGTATTTATGATACATTTTTTGATACGTTTGATATACAACGAATAGTAGGAAAAAAAAGGCTGGTTTCAAAGGTGGTAAATCGAGAATTCATCAGATTGCAACTCTTACTATGCCCTGCATACAGGAAGGTCTATAAAAAACAAACAATGCTTACATTCTGCAACCGGTAAGTCTGATAGGAGTTTTCTCTGCAGTTTGATATCAGAAGACAGACGGCAATCCCTTTTCAAATATTTCTGGTCTCTTGGTACCTGGGGAGGAAAGGAAGCATACCTCAAAAATCTTATCCGCATGCGCCCCGTGATCAGACGACGTAAAGAGTGTGTCACTGATAATCAGCATAAAAATTTAGCATTCGACTATTTTCTTCCAGACGACGAAAATATACCTGTAATATTCCTGTAAGAGTCTGTAAAAACTTTATAATGCACACGTTAGACTTGCAGGCTGAAACCGTCACGTTTCAGGATCAAGACGTTTCAGGCGGAACAACCTGAAAATGGGACAAACCAAGATCTGAGAACTAGACATCAAAAGCGAACGACCAAGACAATAACGACTGTGACTAATAATGCAGAAAAAGCAGTAATCTGTTAAGGATAGGTTAAATTTATTACCAAAAGTAAGCAGTCACTACTGTCGGGCATACACTAACAGGATGTACGTTGAAGATACCTTCGAGAGTAAGGCTTACATGCACCGGATATATCTTATTTGGTGTCAAGACAACACGAAACTAAAAGCTAGCAAAAGAATCTTCTACATGGTATTAGAATCAGAAAAGGTTTCCATCTTTAAACCTCGGAAAGACCAGTGCGATGTGTGTGTTTCCTACAAAGAACGACATACATCCAAAGAAGATTACAAACTTCACATTCTGAAAAAGAATGAAGCTATGATTGCTAAATCAGACGCTTTGAGCTTGACGGTCGTTTCAGACGTATTGGTTATTACTATGGATGTACAAAGCGTCCTACTGTGTCCAAAAATATTAGTTTCTGTTTAATACTACAAGCAGAAATTGCAACTGCACAATTTTTCTATATACTTAAATAACACACAAGATGTACACCTATACGTATGGCATGAGGCGAATGGTGGAGTGACGTCCAATGAATTCACAAGCTGCATCGTAGATTTCTTAAAAAAGCAAACGGCATATAAAAAGTTCATATTAATTTCAGACGGATGTTCCTACCAAACCAGAAACAAAGTCTTGGCGTCTGCTTTGGCAAACCTCTCGAAGACCCAAAATGTCGAAATAGAGCAAATAATACTCGAAAAAGGACACACAATGATGGAGGTCGACAGTGTACATTCTACGCTAGAGAAGAAATTCAGGTTTGTAACAATAAGGGCTAATAATAATATTAATAATAAATAAAGGGAATAATTCAGGCTTCAGCAAGAAATTGTAACTAAAATTACCGAGGCCACACCAAGACAACCATATAATGTGCATTATTTGGACTACACTTTTTTCAAAGACTATGAGAAGGTTTGCAATTATGATTCTATCAGGCCGGGAAAAAAAGCTGCAGACCCTACCGTGAATGACATCAGAGCTTTGCATTACACAGATGGTGAAATATTCTCGTGCCTTAGTTTTTTGTTTATATGTAAAAAATTTACATTGGATATATGTAAAAATATATAATTTAATTTTCGGCATTAAAATTTTTTTTCATAGAAGTAGTAGAATAAAAATAAAACAGTATTTTTGCTCTCCTGTAAAGTTACCTTTTTTCACATAAAGGATACGGCACCCTACATGACGATATAAGCAAATAGTTCAAGGTTTGTCTATTTTGTAATTAATATTACAATAAAATTAAAATACTAAAAATACATCGAGCCTATTCGCTTGTCCTGATCGAATTTTCATCAGTTGTCTAGCCTAGATCGCCTGGGAGGCTAGTTGAAAACCCTAGAAGTTGTAACATTTTTTTTATTATTAATATATTAAATTATTTTTAATTCCTTTTACCCCCGTGCGATACGCCGATGATTAGGAATCCCCGTGTTTACGATAGGAAAATAATATTGTAGATACCAAGCTAAAATGGAATTCCCTAATTAAGAAAGGTTTTTAATCCTTCCGTCCTAATATTCATTATGAAAAGAGTATAATGCTTTTTACTATTCGGTTTCTTTTCATAAATTGGTAATTTTCGTCGAAGGCCCGTTTCTTTTGACAATAACTTACTCCCAAGTATTGTCTGTTTCTTATGTCCAATTGTTAATACCGATTATTTTACCTCAAACTTTCCAATAGTCGTTAAGGCCTTACCTTCTGAGAAACACATACAACTGTCCTATCATTCTTGAGTGGGGGAAAATTTTCTTCTTCCTTTTTCAAGGACAGTTGGTGAAATTTTTAGTGGAACCAATTTACTTGTTGGTGGGCAGTTGTTGAGTGAGGTAATATCTCGTGAGGCTTTTTGGTGGGCCGTTGTTGAGTTAAGGCCAATATCTCGTGTTACGCTTTGCTCACTTTATTTCTTATCGTATCGTCTTTGTGAATTATCCTTATATGTTTCTTAGTATTTAGTTTTCTTTCCTTAGACTATATTAAATTATATATAGTTCTACACTACCTTTAATGGTTATTAAATTCAGTGTTTAGTACCAGAAAAGTATTAAATTCAGTGAATTAAGCTGCCTTCGTCAAGATCTACTGTAAGTAATCTTTCTCTACAATTATCTGGGCGAGTAATATGGTATGGTACCATATCACCTGCCATTATCTGGACGTATCATCTATATCTTCACCTGTAGATTGCCGATTTTTGAATGTAATTGAACCATTCAAGAAAATTTCTATAAATATTACCTATGAACATACAAGTCTCAGTTTTTTATTAAATAATAGTGCGAGATAGTTAATTCACTTAACCAAGTGCGGTTTGATTCATGTTTTCATTCCTGTAACCTTTTTGTTTTTTTTTTGTAAATTTTGAGTTAAGTAATTTTTGCTGTCTTTTGTATTTCCTATAATTTTTGTTCATTATCTTTCCTATGATACCTCGAGATACGCCAAACTATATTTGCATATGATTGCCTTATATATCTTGGTAAAGGTATTTTTTATTACATTATAGCTTAATTTGATACATATATAACACCATTTCATAGTTGTGTATTTTTATTACCTGGGTTGCATTTAGCAGCATCATAATTTTGTGTTTAATATATTGTTAGTGTTTTATGCATGTATTTTATTTGTCGGCTCCTAACAAGTTCCCTGATAAAATAATAGCTCTGAACAATTACTATCTTTAAATATTACTATGCTTTTGAACTGTAGAAAGATCAGGCTGATTAAGTTTCGTAGGTAAGTAAGTGTAATACTTAATATATTTATTAGGTTTAAGGTTTTCTTAATTTTCTCCTTAACCCCAAAAAATTGAGTGGCGCCCTGTTTCTATCTTCTCTTATCTTTGGTAATTTTACCCATCTATCTTTTTTTTATTTCTGTATCTTTTCTAATATCTCTTATCCTATCTTTACCTATTTCTTCCGTTGGATCCATTCCCGGTTCCAAAAGCTAGTTTCGAACCCACGACTCGCTCTCCACCAACCATCTGGCTGCCGTCCGCAGTGTCTCCATTGGTTATCTTTCTAGCACCACCCCAGAAAAGATTTCCGAGGTTTCACATATTTTTATGTCGCCCTAACCGTGGGGCCGATATTCTTTTGTTTTTTTCTTTGTCTGTTTGCCTTTGTGTGTCTTTCACATTTTTATGTCCCGGATTCTTTACCTACTCTCCCTATCTTAGCTTACGATGTCTGTCATGTCATCAAAGCACTAATCGTACCTACGTTACCTTATACCTTTATCCTCGGTAGAAATTTCGTTAAGACTTTCTCTCTTATAATAGATTTTTCTAAAAATACCTGGCTTACCGGCGATAATGATCCACAAACTTTTACCGATATCGATAATGAGCTCGATGAAATATCTTTATGTACTATCGATCATTTAAACCCTAGTCAGAGATATGTCGCGACTAGTACTATCGAATCCTTCTCCCAAGTTAGCAATATAAATGGATTAGGCCACACGGATAAAATCCAAATGAATATTGATACTGGAGACGCGAAACCTTTCAAAAAACGCCCGTTTCCCATGTCTCCATATATGTAAAAAATTCTCAATGAAGAATTGGACGAAATGCTTAGTTTAGGTGTTATTGAACCTTCCAATAGTCCATGGTGTTCACCGGTGCTATTAGTCAAGAAAAATAACGGCGTGTACCGCTTTTGTTTCGACGGTAGAGCTCTCAATGAGGTAACTAAACGACACTCTTACCCTTTGCCTAATATTGATAGGATCCTTTCGTTATTGAAAGGTACCAAATTTATAAGTTCCGTTGACTTGAGAAAAGCTTTCTGGCAAATACCTTTAGATCCCCCTTCGAGAGAAAAAACTGGTTTCAGTGTCATCGGTAGAGGTTCCTTTCAATTTACTGTCATGCCTTTTGGTTTATGCAATTCGGCTCAAACTCAACAGAGATTAGTCGATGCAATTTTCGGTCCTAAATATGAACCGAACATATTTTGTTATCTTGACGACATCATCATTTGTTCCGATAATTTCGAAGAACATATTAAATTATTATCTGAGGTTAAAGATAAGTTAAAGATGCCAATTTAACTATTATGTCGATAAGTGTGAATTTTTCAAGTCTGAATTAAAATTTCTGGGTTATTTAGTAGGTGATAATCTTTTAAGGACTGATCCGGAAAAAGTCTCCGCGATGATTAATTATCCCCGTCCAAAAACTTTTACGGAAGTTAAAAGGTTTGTTGGAATGTGCTCTTGGTACAGGCGATTTATAAATAATTTCTCGACCCTTGTCTCTCCTATAAATGACCTATTAAAAGGTAAAAAGAAGAAACAGTCGGTAGACTGGACTGATTCCGCCGAAAACTCCTTTAGTTTAATTAAAGAGGCTCTTATCTCTGCCCCTGTTCTAACTCAACCTGATTTTCTAAAACCTTTTGTTATTTAATGTGACGCTAGCGATACTGGGTTAGGAGGTGTCTTAACACAAACTGTCGATGGCTCGGATGTAGTTATTGCTTATGCTAGTCGTACCTTATCTAGGGCTGAACGGAACTACTCTGTCACCGAGAGAGAATGTTTAGCCGTAATTTTCGCTATTGAAAAATTTCGTCCCTATATCGAAGGAGTCAAATTTCAAGTAATTACCGACCATAATTCTCTGTTGTATTTAAAAAACATTAGTAATCCTTCTGACAAACTTGCGCGTTGGGCAATGCGTTTACGTCAGCATGATTTTGATCTTATTCATCGGAAAAGAACTTCTCATATTGTCCCGGATGCTTTAAGTCGCATGTTTACGAGTCAGTCTATCTCTGAAAAACCACATATTTCTTATCTGGAAGTCGACAAGGACCGAATTGATCCTTGGTTCGATGATTTTCGTTCTAAAATTTTATCAGATCCCAATAAATATCCTCAGTGGAAAGTAGAGGATGATTTTGTTTTTAAATTAATTCCTTCTGAATTACCTGTTTCCACTAATAATAAAGAGTGGAAAATTTTAGTACCGAAACCCCAAAGAAATGATATTATCACTTCTTGTCACGATCCACCTACCTGTGCCCATCTTGGCTATTTCAAAACTTTAAATCGGATTCAAGAGTTATATTATTGGCCCAAAATGCGGAAAGATGTACTTCGTTTTGTTAGGTTTGTAAAATCTGTGGAGCTCAAAAGATGTCGACTTTGGCTCCCATGGGTTTAATGGGACGAGAAAAATCCGCTAGGTTCCCTTGGCAAATAATTGCCGTAGATCTTATTGGTCCACTTCCTCGCTCAAAAAGAGGATACACTTTTCTTCTTGTTGTTACCGACTGGTTTTCGAAATTTACTTTGATCCATCCTTTGTGGAAATCTACAACGCAAAATATCGTTAATTATCTCGAAAATGACGTTTTTCTTATGTTCGGAGTCCCTCAATTTCTTATATGTGATAACGCCCGAAATCTTAATAATTATTCGTTAAAGAATTTATGTAATAAATATAAAGTCCAAAAAATATGGTTTAATGCTGTTTATTCGCCTCAGTGCAACTTTGTTGAACGTAGCAATAAAACCATAGGTACTGCTATTAGGTGTTATATTAAAGATCATTCCGATTGGGATAAAGAAATTACAAAAATCCGCCAAGCCATAAATACCGCTAGACATGAAGTCACTAAATATACCCCATCTTTTCTTAACTTTGCGAGGTATGTCCCTATTGCCGGTAACTATTATTCCTCATCTCCCGATGATTCTCTATCTACTGTTACTTCAGAACAACATGACCAATATGTTTCTGAAATACAAGGGTTAAGTCAAGTATTTGATGAAATACAACTTAATCTGAATAATGCGTATCAACGCAATGCTAAGACGTATAACTTACGGCGACGCGATGTACAATTTCACGTCGGTAATACAGTTTGGCGACGAAATAAGGTGCTATCAAAAGCTGTCGATAAGTTTATGGCTAAATTAGCACCCAAATATATCTTATGTACGGTAGTTAAAAAGCTATCCCCCTCGTATATACTTTAAGAAATCCCGATGGTTCAAATGTTGGGAACTGGCATATTAAAGTTTGAAACCATATCTCAATGATTCTGATAATTCGTCAAGTGGTGATGAATCCGATCAGAATTAGTTTGTTTTGTTTATCGTTTAATATTATCTACAGTCCTATCTATATATATTCATATATGAATATTTTTCTATCCTATCTTCTCTCGTCTACCTCTTTGATTGCCCACCAGAAGTCACATATCTTTGAGTACGGTTAGGTGAAAAAACATCACCATATCGTTATCTATTAGATCGGCTAGTGAGCTAATTACTGGCTGATCTCTAGTATCTTACCGATAACTAAGTGAAAAATCACTTAATTTATCTTTGAGCAGAACTCAATATCTTACCGATAAGTGACAAGTCACTTAAACTACCTTTGAGTAAAGTTTAATTTATCTTTGCTCGCTATCTTATCTTATCTTCTTATCTATCTTATTTAGGTGGAAAACCACTTAAAATTATCTGTGCGAAAGCTCATTACCTGGTCAGTGGGGCGAAAAATCATTTGCTTACTGCACCGTTTAAGTTGTAATAACTTTAATTGCGTTATTATACTTTTATTATCTTTATAGTAGTTATAGTAACTCCTATATTATCTAAGAGAAGTTTTTTTTTATTTAAAAAAAAAACTGATACTCAATCCTTTATGTATTTATCAACCCCGAATGGCGATAAACTATTTTTGCTCTGTCCTACGGCCAGTGATAAATCAAGCTACCATGTGTGAATCAGGAGTATGAAACTCTCGACGCAAATATTTTTTCCTTCTTTTTCTTAGAGAAGGAAGACAGACACATTCCTCTTAATTCTTCTTATCCTTTTATTCTTTTAGTACTGATGTATACATGTAGGTGATAGTCTACAGACCCCTTTCCCTGATATGACTTAGAAGTTTTCTTTATGTCAACTTCGACCCGATTGTGACTTTACCGATTGTGACCCTCAATTAAATTTAGGCGTTTGATACGCGAAGCTATCAACCGACAACCAGGTACTTAATTTCTTTTCTTCTTCTTCTACTCTTATTAATGCTAGTTGAGTTTTATTTAATTCTTTTTGACTTCCACTTTGGCATATGCTTTCCATTGTGATTAAAATTTTATCCAGTGTTGTTATTTAGGCCATTTCGATACCTTGTTTTTAATTAGAGATTTCCTAAAAATATCTCGTTCTCTAATTTATCTTAACGAATTACTTATGAGTACCGATCTCGATGCTATCTCTTAAATAGGCATTTCTTTTGTATCAAGGTTTATCGTTTTAATTTTGTTATCTTGACGTTGGGATACTTCATTTCTTAATGATGTTAACGTCTTTTATATGTTGTACTTTTTTTTCGAGGCACGTTCTTCGAATCGTTTGAAGGGTATATAAAAAAAAAGTATCTTTAGGTTTTGATCGGAAACCGTTTTCTTTCTTCTTCTTCGCCAGTTTCCTCTCTTGGGAGGGAGCAGTGTAACATTTTTTTATTATTAATATATTAAATTATTTTTAATTTCTTTTACCCCGTGCGATACGCCGATGATTAGGAATCCCCGTGTTTACGATAGGAAAATAATATAGTAGATACCAAGCTAAAATGGAATTCCCTAATTAAGAAAGGTTTTTAATCCTTCCGTCCTAATATTCATTATGAAAAGAGTATAATGCTTTTTGGTATTCGGTTTCTTTTTATAAATTGGTAATTTTCGTCGAAGGCCCGTTTCTTTTGACAATAACTTAATCCCAAGTATTGTCTGCTTCTTATGTCCAATTGTTAATACCAATTATTTTACCTCAAACTTTCCAATAGTCGTTAAGGCCTTACCTTCTGAGAAATACATACAACTGTCCTATCATTCTTGAGTGGGGGAATATTTTCTTCTTCCTTTTTCAGGGACAGTTGGTGAAATTTTTAGTGGAACCAATTTACTTGTTGGTGGGCAGTTGTTGAGTGAGGTAATATCTCGTGAGACTTTTTGGTGGGCCGTTGTTGAGTTAAGGCCAATATCTCGTGTTACGCTTTGCTCACTTTATTTCTTATCGTATCGTCTTTGTGAATTATTTTCTAAGTGTGTGTACAGTTCATATTTGAGTTTTCTTTCTTTAGACTATATTAAATTATATATAGTTCTACACTACCTTTAATGGTTATTAAATTCAGTGTTTAGTACCAGAAAAGTATTAAATTCAGTGAATTAAGCTGCCTTCGTCAAGATCTACTGTAAGTAATTTTTCTCTACAATTATCTGGGCGAGTAATATGGTATGGTACCATATCACCTGCCATTATCTGGACGTATCATCTATATCTTCACCTGTAGATTGCCGATTTTTGAATGTAATTGAACCATTCAAGAAATTTCTATAAATATTACCTATGAACATACAAGTCTCAGTTTTTTATTAAACAATAGTGCGAGATAGTTAATTGACTTAACCAAGTGCGGTTTGGTTTATGTTTTCATTCCTGTAACCTTTTTGTTTTTTTTTTTTGTAAATTTAGAGTTAAGTAATTTTTGCTATCTTTTGTATTTCCTATAATTTTTG